AAAAAAAAAAAAAAATTAAGAAGCGAATTTAAATTTAGCTATTTTCTATAGCAGTAGACACATTTTAAGGGGGAGAGAGGGAAATAACCCATTAATTATTCCAAGATTTTCGCAATAAAATGTTTAAACTTTCTTTACTTGAAATAAAAAGAAAACATGAATAAATCTTATGCTCACTCCGGACTCGCCATCGAAGGATATATGTTTAGGTGTAGACTACATTGAGAGGGGGTGGGGGAGTTAAGGACTGTGGGATAATTGGTCAGTGGAGGAGAAGGATATTTTCCCATCGCTGAAGAAGGTTGGATGTAGAACAATGGAGGTAGCTCCAGAGGCCGATATAGGCTGGGCCGGCAAAAAACAAAATTGACAATATACCCCTTGTCGCTAACCTCGCTTCATTATACCGCCTTCCTCACAGGTGGCGCTGTATATATATATATATATATATATATATATATATATATATATATATATTTTATTTATTTTATTTTTTAAGCTAGCTCAAAATATGTATGATGTGGATTAGTTAATTAATAAAAAATATATATATTCTGCGTTTATATTTTCATGTTTTATCATAACATTTTCATAAAACTGTTTGCAAGATTGGTTGGAACTCTTCATACTTTTTTTTTTTTTTTTTTATTCTTTATGTAATACATTTACAACTGTATTACATAAATACATCAAGTAAATTTGGACATAATTGATATAATGACATGAATACACTTGCTGAGTAACTACCCAATGGTAGCACTCTAATGATATGACTACATTAGGAGATCACGGGGCCATCTTCTTTTCAGACGCCTCGGAGGGTTATCAGGAATTGAAGAGGAAGCAAGGTTAGAAACGAGAGGGTTGGGATGATTCTGAAGTTTATTATGGAAGGATAGGTATCTGGATTGGGCCAGATCTGAAACATAAGGAACATTAAGATCTTTATGGATAATTTTATTAGTGACAAAGTAAGGAGCATTGAGGATTTTACGAAGGATTTTGGATTGTAAGGATTGGATGCGAGAGGAATTCGATGGTTTAGTGGAGCCCCATAGCTCAACTCCGTAAGTCCAAATAGGCCTTAGTATAGTAATATATATGAGTCTTTTGTAAATAGTTAAAAGTTTAGAGCTTTTGTCTAGTAAGTGCTGAAGTAATCGGAAACGTCAAGCGGTTTCTTGTCGTTTCAGTCTAGTATGAGGATTCCAACTTAGTCGTTTGTCCAGGTGGAGTCCTAGGTATCGGATTTGCTCAACAGGGATAAGTGGAGTATTGTTAAAGGAAACTGTAGGACAGGAAGTCGTTGGTTTACGACGAAGGGTAAAGGTAATTTGGTGGGATTTATTGGAGTTTATTTTAATTCTCCAGTTTTGACACCATTCTTCTAGATTTATGATGTGTGATTGAAGCATTTGGGATGCAATTGCTGGGTCATTGTTTACTGATAGGATACATGTGTCATCGGCATATGTGGTGATGACATGGGTTGGGATAGGTAGGGATGTCAGCTGTATAAACTGTGTAAAGGATAGGACCTAGGATACTACCTTGAGGAACACCAGCGGACTGGGAAAAAAAGGGATGAATAGGCGTTATTGTGATTTACTTTAAAGTATCTATCAGTAAGGTAGGGACGGATAATGAGGAAGTAGGTAGGTGGTAGGAATTTTCGGAGTTTGTACAGCAATCCCGGGTGCCTTCTTCATACTTAAGTTGCTTTTAACAACACTACTTTCTCTTCACTAAATTTACCGTTAAATTCTTTCGAAGAATGTATTTTTAGTTCTGAATTTTGGTTTCTTTGCTAGTTTTGTTGACTTATCTGAATGTTGTCTATTTTGAAGTGTATCTTTCTTCGTTCCTTAGTTCGCGCCTTTTATCCCAAAACTTAAAAAATGAAATCTATAAAACAATTATCTTGCCTACAGTTCTTTATGGGTGCGAAACTTGGCCGCTTACATTAAGGGATGAGCGGCGTCTTAAGGTTTTTGAAAATAAGGTATTGCGTAGAATATTCGGACCGAAGAAGGATGAGTTAACCGGAGAGTTCAGACGGTTACACAACGCCGAATTGCGTGAACTGTATCCGAGTAATATAATTGAGATAATTTCATCGCGGCGAATCAAGTGGGCTTGTAAAATTGTTGGACTTAGTAACGAGAGAATTCCTAAAAGGTTAATATTTGCTGTGCCGAATGGTAAGCATCCGAGGGGTAGACCGAAGCGAAGGTGGGAAGATTGCATTAAAGCTGATCTGAAGGTACTGGGTTTGGACGGCGAACGGTGGAGGGAGGTGTATAATAAGCGATTGGTAGTGTCTGCATCGAACCTTCGGGTTCGCTAAGCCTTTTTATTTATTATTATCATTCTTCGTTCCAAATTCTGCTAAATTCATCTGCACCTTTCCATTTTAAATGTTTATTGCGTGTTTGAAAATTTAAATATATTAGTTCTGAATATTTAGTGTAAGGTATATATTATTTATCGATGTTTGTCTATCCTTCAGAGTTATTATATCATTATTTTATCTTAGCTTCTTTAAAAAAAATATATATATAGAATTATTTGAAATGCACTTTTACGTATTTATTTATTTATTGGTAACGCTATTCTATTCTGGATGAAAAATTTTCTGTATCGTGCACTAAATGAAGTGTACATATACTCTCCCATAATACACATCTCCTTTGTATTATTCGAGGCGACAGGTTGTCGCTGCCACAACAGTTCTCTTGAATCCATGTTGTTTCTGGAACAAGTGATGGACAAATGAGTAGAGAAATACCGAATAATTTCCGGCACCTGAGCAAACAGCTGGAGAAATAGAGCCTGGGTTATTTTCTCATCAACTTCTTTCGTCCATAAATACTGAATGGAACCTTCTATATTTTCAAATTTGTAATGTAATAATAATTAGTTTTTAATAGTTAACCTATTGTTTATAAGTTGTGTAGTTATATATATATATATATATATATATATATATATATATATATATATATATAGAACATTCATTAGTTTATTAAATAATATATATATATATATATATTTAAACTTCACTATTTAATTGGGAATAAGGTCACTTAATTATTATTTAATAAACTAATGAATGTTCATTGAGAGATATAGAGAAGCTTAATATATATGATAGTGGACGGTGCTGAGACTGTCGGTGTGTCCCTGGCCTGATCGAAGCTCTATTTTTTAAAATTCTAGCTTTGATGAGGATCCCATGGTTGACTAATAAAAAGAAAATACCGGGATCGAAACGTCAATAAACAGAAGAAATGAACATTCATTAGTTTATTAAATAATAATTAAGTGACCTTATTCCCAATTAAATAGTGAAGTTTAAATTTAATACTCAAAAGTCGATTAAGGAAAAGTTGTAAATATATATATGCAATTTTTTTTTTTTTAATCACAATAATAAGTATTTTTGAGATTTTATGATCATTTGTTTTTTTTCAAGTGCTTAAATTATTTATTAGTTAGTTTCGGTCATATTTGTATTTTCTTCTGTATTTGTTCATCATTGTTATTCTAGGAGAACTTATTCCCAGAATAAAATTCAACTTTCTATTCTATTCTACGTGTAAATACACAAGTAATATCGATTGTCTTCTTCATCGATTATTGCGAGGAGTCCTCGATTGCAGCTTTCTCTTCGAAGCCAAGTGACCCCCGAAGCATGCCATTCCTCCCGATCGGCGATCTTCGAGTTCTTCCCTTACCACTCCTCCTCCATTGCTGGAATATCCTCCAGTAATAAGCGGTCATGAGACACAGCGAGTGGAAAGATTCTGCTAATGACGGTACTCCACCTTCCCCGAGCATTCCTCCTTCCCTCTCCCGGCAAATAAGATAAAATAAAACGAGTTCTCCAGCCTTCCAGAGGAGAAATATATTTTTTTGCCGCGGGTTCCCAGGCCTGACCTTTCCACGCTATCAGATCTCGAGGCCCTCTCCTCGTCTCTAATTATCGCCGAGGAACGCGGACGAAAATATTCCCATCTTAGGCCTATTTGTTAGCTTGGAGACCTGTCTGTCCTCACTTATGCCTTGTCCCGAGATAAGGTATCTTCCCGATGATGTCTGGATACACGTGTCTACTTGTCGAGATAATTCAATTTAAAAAAAAAAACATACAACATTAAGACTGAAAATCTTATGATCGTATGCACATTAGCACATTAAGGTGCGTTATCACATTACATAGTAAATGTTTAAAAAATCAGTATTTCCATAATTAATTTACTCAAATAAATGTCAAATCACAAGCAAAATTAGAAATTAAAACTTTATAACTTAATTTTTGGTTGTTATTTTTGTTGAAAATGAAGACACTCTGGAATGACAGAATATCATATCACATAATTTTGCTCAACCCTGTTCTAAAATAAACCTCAAATTTATAATTAAAGCTTACTAAACAAAGAAGTTTTTATAAAAGTGTAGTATCTGTAAAATAATAAAAAACATACTAAATAATCCATGATTTAATGAAAAACACTACTTGCGTAATTTGGCCTCTCAAAAGCCCCCATTAAATGGTTTTGTCAAAGAAAAACTCTACTTGTATTTTAAGGAAATTTTGTCTAGTTTAATATGAACCTATTTTGAATTAGCTGTGTTAACTTATTTTTGGAACCATACATCAAATACATTTTTTATTTGTGGGTTGATACTTGACTGTAGTGAATAATGAAGAGAAGGGTAGTTGGGATGACCAGTCAAAAAAAAAAAAATGACAATAACAAGAACTAAGAAGTAAATAATAATAACGGTTACAAAATATGGACTTATGAATTAACGTGAATGTTGTTTTCTGTAAAAATAATAAGCCCGAATTTTGTGGAGTACATAATGAACGAAAGATTCTTCGATGTTTAAAATTACTAATACATAATTTAGAGTGATATTATAACGGGCATTAGAATAAAAAGACGAAGTGAAAGAAAATCCGATAAGTTCCGAAGGATCTTTTTCCTTTTTCTATGCACGAATCGTTCGCGAACGACGTCGTTCGTGAATTATTACCTCGAGGGATAGATGCTTTAGCAGCCTTCGATACCATCTCGCAGCTTCGAGCGGCCGTTGACCCCTGGCCGTGACGCTCGGGGATGATAACAAATAAGAAGAAGCTATGGAAATAAGAGGAGATTTGATGAAGGATGGTGGATCACGGACTAGAGAAGAGGGGCTACAATCATCTCGCTACAAATTGCCTCCTATTCCACCTTTTAGCTTTTCCATTTCTTCCTCACGTTCCCAATCCCATCCACTTCATTCCGGGGTGTCTGTTGTGTAGCCCCGGGCACTGCCTACCTCCTTATTACATCCACCATCTTACCCGCTTCAAAGGGTGGGTCACGTTTAATATTTTTTATTTTTTATCTGTCAGATTTTTTTTTTTTTATATATATATCGTGAGTTGATGAAAATAATCAAATATAAAAATAATTTAGTCAGAGTCATATTTTTACCATATATTTTATTCTATATTGTTTCATTGAATACTCTATAGTTGACAGTTGTATAACGACGAAAGATATTCAATTATTTAGGGAATAATTGAAAACAATAGAGTTAAAGAGAGAGAAGTGAGAGAAAGGGAAACTAAATGTTAAATAAAAAAAAAAGCATGAACAATGAAAGGATGGAAAAAGGAAAAAGGAAAAAAAATAAAAATAAATAAAATAATTTTTTTTTTTATTTCTTTATGACATTTACAACTGTATTACATAAATATATCAAGTAAATTTGGACATAATTGATATAATGACATGAATACACTTGCTGAGTAACTACCCAATGGTAGCACTCTAATCATATGACTACATTAGAAGATCACGGGGCCATCTTCTTTTCAGACGCCTCGGAGGGTTATCAGGAATTGAAGAGGAAGCAAGGTTAGAAACGAGAGGGTTGGGATGATTCTGAAGTTTATTATGGAAGGATAGATATCTGGATTGGGCCAGATCTGAAACATAAGGAACATTAAGATTTTTATGGATAATTTTATTAGTGACAAAGTAAGGAGCATTGAGGATTTTACGAAGGATTTTGGATTGTAAGGATTGGATGCGAGAGGAATTCGATGGTTTAGTGGAGCCCCATAGCTCAACTCCGTAAGTCCAAATAGGTCTTATTATAGTCAAGTATATGAGTCTTTTGTAATTAATGGGAAGTTTAGAGCGTTTGTCTAGTAAATAAAATAATAAAAATGTAAAATATATCTTACTAATATTAACTAATACTTCTGTATATTTATATATTCTGTAAGTTCATATATTGTCTTAAGGATAGAAGAGTATACTGTGTATATAGCAACCCAATATAATTGGGCAGCAATCCTTTATATTTTATGAAAATATAGTGTTTCTCTCTCGATCATCAAAAAAACATAAAATATTAAAAACTTTATCAAGCCTACGTTTCGACCCAACTATGTTTTCATCAGGGCTAGAGAGAATATACTTTAAATAAAATAAAACGAGTTTTTATAAAGTAAAATGGTTTCCACTGTTTTCAGTTGTTTCCTTTTTTTTTTTTAATGCAGTATTCCTTGACCATCTCTTTTCTCTATATTGTACCTTTACATCAGTTACGTTTCGGCTACTATGCCATCTTCAGATTCATTGTTTATGTTACTTTTAATCTAATCCAGCAACACCAGGACACAACGTTAAGCCTAGAGATGGCATGTAACGATCGAAACATAGCTGATAAAGGAGCAATATAAAATAAAATACATGATAAAAAATTTGAATTCATCCTGAATTCTATTAAGTAAATAACAATAAAAAATAACTGTTAATTGTCAATCGAAACAATATCTCTATTAATACTATTATTATATCATTACTTAGTTTCATTTCTATCATTAATTAGTTTAAAAACATAGTTAACTTTATATTTCTCATGGTCTGGACTAGTGTTGCCCAAAATCGGTCTAGGTCTTGCACTTCGCGAGACCAAGACCATAGCCGCCTAACTGTTGCAAGACCAAGACAAGGAATGGTAAAAAAAATCGATTTTTTGAATAAAAATTAAGGCAAAATAGTTACTAATACTTGACAATCTTAGTTACTATATGTAAATAATTGTAATAACCAACATACTTTTGCATTAAACTCCTCTAATTTTTCATTCAGGCTTCGTTAGGTTTCTCCTATCTAAAAAAATACTGTAATATCTCTATAGTGATAAGCTAATAAGTAACTGCAAGACCGTTGCAAGACTCTTGCACAAGACCAAGACTCGTCTCGGTCTCGCATTAGGGCAACACTAGTCTCGACCATTGTGTTCTGAACCATCAACATTAATTTGATATGTTAAGTGGAAATTTATATTATATGATAGACATTTATATGAGTTTATCTCCAACTTTGGGCCAAACAGACAAATGAAACAGACAAGCAGTTTTCAAAATAAAGAGTTATTAAAGAAAGTATGTGGCATTTCATAAAATGTATGAAGAATCATAAAGGCATCAACTTGCATAGCCCATGAAAAAAATGTCAACATCGGATAAACCAAAAAAAGTAAAAATCATAAAACGCGATAGCTGTTTTGGTGATGCTTAATCGCTTGATTTCTTCCTAATCCCATCAGCAGTTTATGTCTGCAGTGTCAGAATAATACATATATTTAATTGTTGTACATACATACATACATACAATAATACAATAATACATACAATAATACATACAATAATACATACAATAATACATACAATAATACATACAATAATACATATATTTAATGAACAATCTGCAACAGCTGAAAGCGAACTATGGATTGAGAGAATATGAGCATAAGGTTTTACTCACTGAGCTACTCAGCTAACCACAAAAGATATTGAATTTAAAAAAAATATATGTATTAAGAAATTTAAAGATTCATTGAGTCATTACTGAACTAAGAGTATACATTTTTATTTTATAAAACATAAATTGATTGAACAACTATTTAAATAGACAAATATAAACTGAAAATTTAAATTTTAAAGGCTCGGGAACCTTTAGCCATAATATCTGGAATATATTAACATGTACTTATTTTAAATGCAGATTATAATAATAAAAATAATAATATAAGGAATAGCAATTTATAAATTTCAAATTAGTTTCGAAACAATTTGAATAATTTATTTGCGACCTACATGACACCTACAAACCCCTTCTTGTTTGCCCGAGCACAAGGTCGCCTTTAAGGATTCCTTTAAGTCGATTGCATCTATCGAGTTATAGCCTCGGGGGAACAATCGATACCTTCAGCGACGAAATAAAAGGCACAGACCCGCCAAAGCATACTTGGTCGGATTCCTCAACAGCCAGAGAGGTAGAAAAAGGAAGATTCAGATTTCGAGATAATTACACACGGAAAGCTATTCCGTTTTATCCTGCGCCCCCCTCACCATAATGTTTGGCCTAAACTCTGGAAAGTAAATATATGTACTCCGTCCTTTATCTTAGGTAGGATTCTTTCGTCTTTTTAATCCTGTGTGTCTGCCATAGCACTCCATTCCAAGCATACTGACCTTCCCAGTGTCTCATTTCCACTTATTTAAATATTTTTTTATTTTAGATAACTGCTCGAAATGATCTTTAGAACATATCTTTTTTTTTTTTTTAAATTCTCAGGACATTTCTAACTCGTTTCAAAGATATGTATCATCACAACGATTTAAAATATGTGGTCATTTTTAAACTTGACTGAAATATAGGGAATGCCAACACTTTCAAATATAAAGACTTAATTACAAAGGGCATCGTAAAAGAATGCCACAGTGATCTTTTTAAATTATTTACATAAAAAAAATAAAAGAATACACAGAGCAAACCCGGAGGCCACGTAGCAACAAAAAACGGGGTCCCACCATATTTCTCCTCAAGATCAGATTTAATGTTATCCTCATACCCACGCTTCGGTTACCTGAGGCGTTCTGTTCCCAAGCCATAGGGGACCACCTCTCAGATCTATAATTAACTTCTGAACAGTTTACTAAGTTTTAATATGAAAAGTTAAGCAATTACGAAATAGTCTTATTGAATACGATTATTTAATGAAAGTCGACAACTCAAAAAAAATGATAACAAGTTATTCTCCCATAAACTAATTTAAAAAATCTGGTGTGTCCACTCACACAACTTTCCTATCTATTACAGAAAAGTTTTTATATCTTAACATATGTCCATAAAGAAACAAAAAAAAAAATGGAAATAGATTTATTTCCCGAAAATTTATCAAAGAAAAGATTTGAGAATCATTTATTTGATAAACTAAAGCAATGAAAACCTCTAATATTGCTGATCAAAAACTTTTTGCCATAGCATAATTTTGACAAAACAACAATTTCTGTTAAAAGTAGAGGAAATAGTGAAGATTGAGTGATGAGGGCAACAGATTTTCTTACTTTCACTTAGTTATCCTTTTTCTCTCATTCACCCCTTTGTGACACCAGGATATGAACCCGTAATCTTACATTGGAAATTGAATAGCTGTAACTTTGTTAATAGTTGTCCGAAATGAACGATTTCTATATAGTTTTGTTGCGAATTTCATTACGTTAAAAAAAAAAGTATTTTTTTCTATATAACTTTTTTTCCTGATTTTTTTCGGGAATTCAGTCCAGGAACGAAAATTGAAAGAACTATTATCAGAACATTATAGGAATGTTTCATTAAAATCATTAGAATCGTTTTCGGGCTACAGTCTATAGAAAAACATGTGTTTCATTTAATGCGCAGGAGCTATTGCGCATTGAGCATCCAATTTTCGTCACAGGCATCAGTACTCAGTACCCTACAAAATCTCAATAATAACTAACGGTCGGAAATAAATAGACTTATTTTATAAGTACAGAGCTTTCATCTTTCTTTGAAGTTATTGAAATTCCGACAAATATATCTATATAAAAAAATATCAATAAGGCTGGGAGATTTGGACACTAATCAGCACTTTAGAAAGAAGTGTTGAAATATTGGAGAGAAAAATCCTCCATACGATAACAGGAGCGATCTGTAATCATAGTACTAAGGCATGGTTAAGGATCAATAAAGAACTGCTTATAGAAACTGGTCAATCAATATCTCTGACATGAAGAAAAGGAAGTTAAGATATGTGGCGCACGTACCTCGCAGAAGAGTGCTTAAGGCGAAAAGATATACAAGGTTTGTAACGCCAACAGAAATTAAAAAAGGTATATTTAAAAAAAATATATTTTTATATATGGTATGTTTTTTCTCGATAAAGTAGTTTCAATTTAAACTTAAGTTCACACGAAGTGACTGTGTGACAGTAGCTACCATAACTGTGGAAACGAGACTCGACTAGTAAGAGAGGGGATGACAGATTAGGATGAGGAGTACCTCAGGGAATGATTTATGGTCCCGTGTTATCTCCTTTGTTCTCAACTCCTTTATCAAGATCCTCCTTTTCCCCTTTCTTCTCAGGACCCCGACTCCATTATCCTGGACCACTATTGTGCCCCCTCTAGCCCAGATCTCTCCTTAAGACGAGGGCCTATTTCCATAGAAGACAGTTGACTATTTAACACAACAAACAGATGAGCTGAAGCAGTAGCAAAAGCCTTATCTGTCTTGTCTGTGTCTTCATCGCTACCAGTGGTTGGTCATGTTTACCTTTGACTTATGTTTGTATTATATAATTATATCTTAACAACGACAAATAATTGAATGGGTTATTATATAACTTAAAATACAAAGAGTCCTGTAAATAAAGAGAGATATTTGAAGAGGTTATAACATCCCACAGAAAAAGCTAATATAAACTATGGTCCAAAAGATTTATCGTAGAAAATAAGGAAATTTAAATGATAACAAAAAATAATATATAATTTAATTTAAATAGTTAAAATTAACTCATAATAAATCAGATAAAATTTCCTTCTATGTCAAAATCATTTAAAGTGGGCTTTTAACCTGCTTGACAACTCGCAGTTATACTTTCATAAATTCAAGAATTACTCACTATTTTTTTAATCAACATTCAACTGCAGAAAAAACGCCTCACTTTTATAATAAATTTCTTGTTTAATAAGCTTCAAGTCAACATTAATTGAGTTGAATTTGTTTTATGAAAACTTATGTTTTACCTATTATTGTGACTCAAAATTAAACAGAAATGTAATTATAATTATGGGTTGATGGTTAAGAGGATCAGCCAGAAATAAAATGGCAAAAATAAATAATTATATTTATTTTAACATTTGCCGACGTTTCCAACTGAAATTCAGGTCTTCATCAGAGCTATATTGACTTTATTCAAGCAATCTCTTCAACCTTGATGAAGGCCTGTACTACACGTCGATATTATAATAAAAGAAATATTATTATTTATTTTTGCCATTTTATTTCTGACTGATCACAAAAACCATCCTTCTCTTCAAAAATGAAATTAAACTGCACACGATTTGAGTTAAAAAAAAAAAAAAATAATGCTTAGAATATACATTAAAAAAAATTAATTATTATAAGAATTATTTTATAAAATGACCAGTGAAGGTTGATTACTAGACTTTAGAAAATATAAATTCCATTAATTATTATTATACACGTATACACAAATCGAACATGTACAAGACATGGTTTAGAATATTTTTTGTTTGTAATTTTTAGCCTAGAAATATTTCTTTAACAATGAAAATTCTGTGTGATTGATTTTAATGATTGAAAGATAATAATGAAAAATTGATATTTATCTAAATTTTGAAACTTTTATATAATAATAATAATAATCATTTGTATCTGGGTAATAACTGCGTAATTTTAATTGAATATTTAATAGTTGACCGTTGCATTATAAAGGAAGGAGATGGTCCGGGGTGGCGGTCATAAATAGGCTAAATAGTGGTAAAACTATTTTATTAATAGCCGACGTTTCGATCCAACTTTGCAGGTCTTCTTCAGGGAGGTTGTGTTCAGCTAGGAGTTTCACTTAGAACTGAGTACTAAGTTCTGAGTTTTAGTTCTAAGTGAAACTCCTAGCTGAACACACCTCCCTGAAGAAGACCTGCAAAGTCGGGTCGAAACGTCGGCTTTTAATAAAATATTTTTACCAATATATAGCCTCCATTTATGACCTCCACCCCGAACCCTCTCCTTCCTGTGTAATTTTTTTTCTTCTAATGTTTTAATTGATCATAGAAGGGAAGAAAAAGGTTATAATTAAAGCAACAATAATGCTAATTGAATTTCATATATTTTTATATGGGACTAAGAATGGACATAGATAATCTATATTTTCCTTACAATATTCCATATTTTAATTAAAAAATAAAAACTATCGTTTTCGGAAACCAAATAGGAATTAGACATGAACCTGATGGTTAGAAAAAATATAACTCATTTTACATGTTTCATATAGAATGCAGTGCGTAGCAGAGAAAAATATCGAGATTTCGATCGAGTTGAATAACGCTCGAAGGATCCTTCTTAATCAGTAAACTTAATTTGCCCAAATTCGGACCAATGAAAAAAAAAAATTGTTTTTCCTTTTTTGAGCTTCAGCCTGAAACCTCCTATCTAGTAAATCCGGGGGTGTATCTTAGCAATACATTTGAATACTAGATCTAGAATAATTGAAATTTATGTTGTAATGCTCCAATCAAGGAGGCAGCATCAAAGTGTGTTATGTATTAGGCAAACTTATGTTCCCTAGTATCGTAGGAGTCACTACACTGACGACCATGAGCTTTTATTAGTAAGGAATATTTAGTAGGCATTATGTAAGGAGAACGCCTTCGAATACATAAGATCTATAATATGTATTTGAGTTTAATAATATTGTTATAATGGAAAATCATTCTAATAATGCCACTCTTAAATAAAGATTCGGACAATCGGAGAACCATAGAGGATCTCGCGGAGAGCAGAGATATGAAGTTGTTGACCTGCGAGAGGCGGCCATAGAGGTAGAAGGAGATGGACTGACAACAGCCTGACGTAACGACCACCTGCCCCCCACCACTCCACCCTGTTGCCGGATCTACCCTCTCCATAGCTCACTCCTGGTCCTCCTTTTCCGGAGGAGATCTCTGATCATTGGGCTCGAGAAGACGTGTAATGTATGGGAGGATAACGGGAATGATTAGAGAGGCATCGAGGTTCAAGTGTGGATCATACAACTTGATCGTCATGGTTATCATAAATTTTTATACCGCTATAATAGTAATGTTATAATAGATATCCTCAAATAGAAAGTAATTAGGTTGCAAGATAAACATAAGCCCAAACTCCATAATGTCAATTTTACCAAAATTATAATCAATACGAGTAAGCAGAAACGCCCTTTTACACGGTCAAGTTTCTCTGTAGATTTCTTGTATTCCAGAAACAAAGATGCAAAGAGTATAGTAAGGTTGCAAGGCCAAATTGATTACGCAGGAAATTTTCCATCAAAATAAAGCAGCGCTCTCTAACAATCTCCACTGGCTTTAGTACCAGTAACGCGGTTGAGAGAGTAGCGCAGAGATCTCCTGGAGTCTTGTATTTCCTACCATAGTTAGATGGACAAGCCTGACTCTGAGTTCTATCGTTTGTTTGTAAATATTGTACATAGATATGTCTGTAATTATTTTTGTTTAATTATCTTAAAGTTATTATATTATTGTATTTACCATGCACCCTCATAACAATCATGTCCTGATTACTAACCATTTGACGTAATGTATTATTATATTACCATGACAACAGTATCAATAACTTTATGATAACCTTGACGGACAAGTTTATTTTATATACTCTTTTATTATTATTTAGCTGTTATTTTTTTTCTGTTTATTTTATATTTTCTGTATATATAGTGTGAAGTGTAGTCGTATTATTCAATAAATAAATTTAAAAAATATTACTGTGTTTACCTCCATTTTTCTATTTTATTTCTTTTTTTTTTAAGTTAATATATCTGGTTGGGGCCATGGCTTAAATTGTAAAATAGATTGAAGTTATACACAATCCTTCTCTGAATTGGAGTTGAATTAATGGAATTACATTAATTTATTCTTGATTTTTTTAACAAGAACAACACTCGATTTTTACTTCTAGCTTTAGCTACAATATTAATATGCTTTCTTGGAAAAATATGGTAACTACAATATTGACATTTTTTTATTATTATTATTGAAATTTACAACTGTATTAAATGATAAATACAACAAGTAAATATAAAACAAGTAACATGCCATGTAGCACATGAAGAAAAACTACCTATTGGTAGCACTCCAATTATATTTCTGTATTAGAAGGTCTCGAGGCCATATTCTTTTTAGACGCCCCGGAGGGTTATCAGGAATTGAAGAGGAAACAAGGTTGAAAACAAGAGGGTTCGGATTGTTTAGAAGTTTATTATGGAAGGATATGTATCTGGATTGAATACTGACATTAAACCTAACCATGTAAATAGGCCTTTAAAATTTGTGATCTCCCCTGGTGTTTTAAAACCAAATTATATTACAAACATTTTTTTAACAATGCTTTGGTTGAAAACCGTGTAAAACTGCCCTGAAGGCACATATAATCGATTCCAAACGGTCATATCGATCAAACTATAAGGTTGATACATTATTAAATAATTAATATCCATAAGTAGGATTTATATAAATATTTATTAATAAAAAAAAATGCATCATTACAAAATATATATATATATATATATATATATATATATATATATATATATATATATTGTTAGTATTTATTATTATTTATAATTAATTAAAATTCGTTCCTCGTATATATATATATATATATATATATATATGGACGAGAAACGAATTTTATTTAATTATAAATAATAATAAATACTAACAATATTATTAGTTTATATTAATAACATTCCGCAGACAGAGTAATATGAAGATGGCAGTACACAATGGAGGCACTGTTCTGAATAAATTTGTTCAAGTTTGTAGGACAAGAAAGGAATGTAGAGTTTGTTGTTCTTTGCATTACCGTTATCCGTGAACGAAGCGATAGTGAGTGAACCACATGTCAGCCGCTCCAACATCAAATGCCATACATCCAGTAGAAGAGTTATTCAACTGACATTTTAAAATGTATTTGGTTATTATTTATTCAGTTTTCAGCAACGAAATATAAAGACAACGTTGTTTGAAACGATAATTCAGAAATGGTAAGTTTGATGACATTTTTTCTTTATAAACATCAGATATGATATTAAATTTGGAAATGGGTATCCATGATTGTTTTAATAAATGAAGCTTTCTTTCACTTGACCTCTCAATTATTCACGATTCATAGCATAGCAAAGTCTAGTAAAATTAAAAACGTTTATATTATATTAAGTTAAACTAAAATTTTTCAAAAGTCTGTTACAAAACCTCCCTTAAAAATTGAAAACTAGAACAAAACTGTTTTAAATATTTTTTTAACTCATGATTAAACAAAAAAAAAAAAAAAAACCATGAGTACGAAATTTGAGATCAATAATATTATACTAATGATAACAGAAATTCATTATCATTAAAGGTGTAATGTATAATCTATTAGTATAAATTAATAACCAA